AAGAGTGTGTAATTTTGTATGAATGAAGACAAGTTACCGAGATTGTAAAAATACTAAACATTTTTATCTTATAATTATAGAAATTGTCATTATGAGAATTTTCTTGTGTATATTACAAGAAATAGCCTTGCTGTTTGTCTCTGAGGCTTGAATTCTGCTGATCTTTCAGATTGCAGACCTAATATTTTATTTCAGGTTTCTCGTTTTTATAGATCAAGAAACCACTGTTCAATATGGTACAGTTTTTCATGAGCAATAATTTCAGCTCAGTACAAGAGCCTCTGAGAATGTTAGTCTACTGATTATATATTAATATTGAGGTAGCATTTACACACAGGTAAATCAGCCTCATTTGAATATTCCTAGCTGCACTGCCTCACATGGCTTTGTCAAGGGATTGTTCTAGGAAACACAGTAATAGGTACTGTTGCAAATTGGGAAATTTTAAAATTAAATTTTAAATGCTTTGTGATAACTGAATCAAGTTGCACAAATTTTAATGCTAGCGTAATATGGTTAATTAGAGTGTTCTGTTCTAGTTGGACAAACTAGACTTTTAAGAGTTTTATTTTCATCCTCCCCCCTCAGAACTGCCAACTACACACTGGTCTCAACACTTGAAACACATTTCAGATATGCTCAAAGCATTAGTAGAAGATACAAACGTTAGGTAAGCAGTACTATAATTTCTAACTTTTTGTCCTTTGCATATGTTCCTTTGTGAAAGGTCATGTCATTTGAAGTCTTTAGTGGTTACATTTCATCATTTTCTTATTATTCTCTAAATAGAGCTTTATTTTAAAGAATAGAACTTAGATTACTTACTGAACCTGAAGTTTGTAGCACCTATAGACCTGACCAATAAGCCTCTGAATAAACTAAATCTTGTTGTTCTTTTCATTTCAGCAAATAGCTAGCTGTAGAACAGAAATGCTTGCTTGCCTGCTCTCCCATTTTTCCCAAAAGACTTTTAAAACTGATTCTGGATTGAATAACAAGAGAATTCTTCCAACCAGAAAAGCAACTAATATTGCAGAGAGCCTGTTGTGAGTGGCACTGTTCTATGAATGAGATTGCATTGACTTTCTGCAAGCTTGTGCAAACATCCAAGCTTCTTGATTTTTTTTTCATAAAGATATGACTGCTAGACTGCAGTATTGTTTGTTACATTACTCTTTGAGCTGACACCCCATGTTTCTGATCTGTTGCCCTTAGCTTTTTTTTCTACAAATAGTTGCTCATGTTTGTCTGCATAAACTCTGCTTTGGTAGTAGATGCTCTAGGACTACATGAAAAGCATGAAAAAAGATACATCTGTCTGTTGCTGCCCTGTAATTCTTTATTACCAGGTGTGTGATGAGACCTGACTCATCCAGAGCTTGGATATCAGTCTGCCTAGATCTGCTCCGAGACTGTGCTTTCCGAAGAATATTGAACAGCTTTTAAATTCAAAGAAACAAATTTCATTTTGATTTAAAACCTGAAATATTTCAAAAGAAACATGGAACACCTAGGCCACATACACTTGCAAAACAAGATACCCAGCTGACCCCCTGTGTTGTGCAAGGCAGATACTTGCATCCATGCTGGGTTTCAGTTAACTTATGAAGACTTTTATTTTTATTGTTGAGTGGCAGAAAAAAGCTTTTTGCTGTTCTCTCTGAGGCCAGGCTGTCTTCTGGCAGCTTCTCACTTTCTGTTCAGTGCTATGTCTTGCCTGTTCATCCCTGAAGTCTGTCAAACCTTTCCGGCCACGGAGTGTGACCAGTAGCTGACCCCAGCTTCTTAAAGAAATACATAACTCAAACTTAGAACAAACAAATAAAACAAGTGTCATCCATCATAATGTGTTACAATAATAGAAGCATGTCTGTTCTTTTGTTGCCTAGCCCTCTCTTGGCTTATATTGTCTTTTCTCCCCTGTTGCTTTGATAGTAGATTAGTTTGAATAGTATTGTACTTGCCAGAATATCCTCTTACTTCCTTTAGAACTCATGGAACAATTCCGTTTTCTACCAAACTCCTTTCAGTTACAAGTAAAATGGAGCCGGCTTAAGTTTTTTAATACTAATATCCATGAGGAAACTGTATTCAGTTTTCTTCTATTGCTTTTTTCCTGATTCTGTTGCCTTGCTACTTAATAAGATTAACAGAGGAGCAAAAAATACTGCTATACAGCATATCCTCTTGCTTCTTATAGTCAGTGCTCTCTGTTTATATAGCTTGTTTTTCAGTGGTTTTATTTTACACCAAATGTAAACCTTACAGCAAGGTGCTTTGTGTGTACTTCTAATCAACAGATTACTTCTGTGCCATTGATTATTATATGTAGTCATCTCAGACAACAGTAAATAATATGTGACATTTTAAACCAGAGATCAACTGATGTATGTTTTGTGGGGGGAAGTCCCACAAAAAGTGAAGGGCCATTTCTGGCAATGACAGTGCAGCAGTTGACATAGGTGCCACTACAGAGCAGGCAGAAACAGCAGTGGGGACAGAAGTGGAGGGTACACGACTCCAAACCAGGCACTGTGACGGTACAGGAAAGGTATGGTGAGTTGTAAGAGCAGTTGTAAGTGCCTGGGCTCTCTAGGCGAGAATTAAATTCTGTTCTGCTAAATACTTGTTAAAATTAGTTTAATGCTTGCAGTTTAAGGACTAGTATTTACCCTTTAAGCTATGAACACTTCCAGTCGTAAATACTGTCAGTATTACCCTAGGAATAGTTATCTGTTCTCAGTAATTAACTTTTAATTAAATTTCATCTTTGATTGTACATCACTGGGTTTCAAAGCTAGCCTATCCACTTACATTGTCACAGCATTGAATTATGGTCAGACAAGTAGATGATTTTGCTGAGGGGAGGGCTGTTATCCTAGATCACAATCACAGTTATTTGTTTTTTCAAAGGTTTTTAAGTTGCATTTCCAGATTCTATTACCTTCAAAGACTTTACCAGTGCTGATCCTGTTCCTTTATGTAAGCAATTTTAGTCTCAGATTTTGGCACACATCTCTAGTTCCCTGCAGTCTGAGCCATGCTGCTGCCCCTCCAAAAGCTGTGGAATGTCAGCAACGGTGACTTAAATAGCAGTCACCTCAGTACCCTATTTTCTCTGTCACTCTATGTCAGCTTCTTATGTCTGATGTCAGTGATCACACTTGTCCAAAAATACCGATGTGGTGGATTTGTGTTGTAGGGATAGGATTTTGAGACCCTGAGATTCTGTGGCATACAGACAATACCATTTACAGGATCAGTAACTTCTGAGACACCTGTAGACAACATCAGTCACCAGTATACCACAGACGTTGAATACTATCTGCACGCATCACACCATCCATAAAACTGTGCCTCCCACCTCTTCAGAAAGTCTTAAAGAAGTTTATTCCAATTATGTGACCTTGTCACATTCCCAAGATGATGTGATGTTATCAGACAACTTCATCAACTCCTGAAATGTCTAAGATCTCTTGGATTTTCATGAGAAGGGTGGCATAGCAGCTTTTGGAGCTCCCAGGAATAAAATATAAGAAAAACCTATAATTCTTAAAACTTTTGCCAAACTTAATAGGAATAATTGTTCCTGGTTCTTAATCTCCTTCTAGCTGTCCTTCTGTCTATCTTTCCTTTCACACCCAGTTTGACTTTTTGTTTCGGAGACACCTACCATTATTTTGCATCTCCCCATTATTTCCCTTTTCCTTAGTCTTAACTATAGAGGAGTACATGTGGGAAAGTGTAGAGATGAGCTGTGATCCATTCTCACCTTTCTTTTTCCTACTGCAATAAACTACTTGTAAATATCTGCAAAATTTTCATTAAAGAGGACCTGAATTTGAAGAATCAGGAGATTAATGTCTTTAAAGTTAATTAATATCCTTTAGTCCATCTAAATGTAATTCCTCAAGAATTACAAAAAAAACATGTGCCTCATGAATTACCAAAACCCAGAAAATAACCCTGGAAAACAACAAAGAGAAACTGAAAGATGATATAAGGCAACAGTATATTGGAATACAACACATGAGATATGATTTAAAGTTTTGAAAATCCTTCAGCTGGAGAGTGTAAATGATAAGGTTTAATTTTATGATGTATATTTTAATACATAGTCTTTTGTCACAGTTTTATTAGAAACTGGTATTATGGATAGTCTGTTCCACTGACAAAGTTAATCTGTTATTAGTACTGGGCATGTCTCATTTGATCATGACTGCAGTTAATATAGATAACTATTACCTTATCTATTAAATTACCTGCTTAGCAGGTAAGACATTATCTGTTCAAGAGTAGTTTAACGATTTTTATTTTCATGCCAGTACCCTTTGCACTTAAGACATTTAAAAATGTAAAATAACAAAAAATACTTAATTCTATATTTGTTATTTTCCAGTTCTCTTGCTGACCTTTTTGAAATCTGGTTTTTGGTTGCTCGCTTTGGAGAATGGCTGGATATTGCGGCAGAACAATTACTGAAGGCTGCTGTAGAACCAGATGCTTTGCTGTGGCTGCTGGCATTTTACTACTGTCCTCAGAATGAAAATCAACAAAGGACTCAAACAATGGTGAGTAATGTAGCGATAGTAAGCATCAATAAGCAGGCAATAGTCTGCTTACATCTTGTTACTATAAAACAAATAGTGCACACCAGAAAAATGAAAGGTCTACGGTGGAGAAGGTTTTGGCTTTGCAAGATCTTCTGGGAATTGCGTTGCAGTGGAGAAGTTGAAAGATAGTTTTTGTGGATTTTCTTGGTGACATTTAGAAAACAGTTTTCCTCTTTATAGTATATTGTATAGATTAGCTTTCTTGACTTTCTTTTTGATAACTTGGGTGCTTTCAATCGCAAGCAAAACTACTCTAGGAGTGGTATTTTTTAAGTCACTGTGTGGCAGAATTCAGCATTCCTATATAATGGCATCTTCTGAGAAGGAAACACAAGAGAAATCACAACAGCAGTTGAAGCAGTAAAGATACTTATCAGACACAGTCCTGAATCCTAACCTTGCCCATCTATTCTGATTTCTCTTGTTTATCATTACTGATTTTTGGCACATTGTGAGATTGTAACAAGTATGTTATATTCCCACACGCTAGGTTTCTAACAGAAGAAAGCAGTATTCTAACCTCACATACTGTACTGCATGAAGAGTGCTGTGTGTCTGTGTATGCATGCAAATAAATGAAAGCCTTTAATTTAGACCTATTATGCAAGTTTGAACTAGCCCAAGCAATCTGATCTACAAAGCCCAGATTCAAAATCTGGCTGTAGCATCTCTAGTTTTCCTTAACTCAAAAACACATTTTCTGTTTGATTTAAAAATGCAGCTCAGTACACCATGCTAGTAAAACATCATGCTTTCATTTTACATCTAATGGTCCATGTACAACAGTGTGTTCTGCAGTATTTTATTTCCTTCCCTTCCCCTCCTGCCACCCAGATGGCACTATGAACACAAGCTCACACCCCAATCACTTTTGAATTTTTTTTCCTCTCTAATTTCTTATAGTCTAGGGGTGGGGTGTTGTCTGAGCAGAGTTAGGTTAAAGCTACAAGGAAGTAAAGAAACTAGGGTTGGTTTCAGAATGCAGTTTTGGTAAAGAAGGCAATATCCAAGCAATAAACATGAGTGAATGAAACTGAAGGACTACAGGTGCAGATCTATGTATGGAACATTGCTTTGACTCTAGCACCACAGAATGAAATCACATTGTCCCATACATAAAATCATCTCCTCTGTGTCTCCTATTTGGTCAGTTTGTTATTCTGTCATAATGTATGACAAACTTTAGTGAGAAAAATGCTTTTCCACTGACAGCCCACACAGTTACTCATCTGTTCCCAGAGGTCTAATATTTCAGTTCATTACGATTCTTTTCGTTAGTTATTTCAAGTAAGACTTTTTTTTTCCACAGGTCAGGCTACTTCAGAAGCATTCCCACAGTTCATGCAAAGCTTCTGTCTTTAGTTAGATATTTGCTTTTTCTTTTAATTTGTCCTTTGGCAGGTTAGCTCTCAGCTCTTTCAAACAGAGTGGTTTCCTCCTCAACCCCTGCACCTTTCACCAGTTAAGGGTTAAGAAGGGATTGGAACTTCTGGCAGATGCCAAGCTATAGGACTTTTCATTCAGCATATTTTTGTGTGGAAAGGCATACACTCATGACTTCAGATTTTGTGTTCTTGCTACTTCAGGTTGCAACTTATATATCAGCAAGAGTGGAATACATAGGGTTAAAATGATTTAAAGAAGAAAAAGGCTGTTCACTAGACTTCACTCATATATGCAGGGCTGAGTACTCTGCTCTTCACTATTTATTCACTTCTTACAGTCCTTTCATAACTTTAGGCTCGGAAACATTGGAGGAACAAAACTTGGAAGTTGATCACAGTAACTTTGGCACTAAGAATGATTCCATTCTGTGCTGGCTGACAGCCGGCTGAACATGAGCCGGCAGTGTGCCCAGGTGGCCGAGAAGGCCAACAGCGTCCTGGCCTGTATCAGAAACAGTGTGGCCAGCAGGAGTAGGGAAGTGATTGTGCCCCTGTACTCGGCACTGGTGAGGCCGCACCTCGAATCCTGTGTTCAGTTTTGGGCCCCTCACTACAAGAAGGATGTTGAGGTGCTGGAGCACAAATCTTATGAGGAGCAGCTGAGGGAACTGGAGTTGTTCAGTCTGTAGAAGGTGAGGCTTAGGGGAGTCCTTATCGCTCTCTACAACTACCTGAAAGCGGGTTGTGGCGACGTGGGTGTTGGTCGCTTCTCCGAAGTAATTAGCGATAGGACGAGAGGAAATGGCCTCAAGTTGCGCCAGGCGAGGTTTAGATTGGGTATTAGGAAAAATGTCTTTACAGAGAGAGGGGTCAAGCATTGGAACAGGCTGCCCAGGGAGGTGGTGGAGTCCCTGTCACCGTAAGCATTCAAAAACTGTGTAGATGTGGTAGTTCAGGACATGGTTTAGTGGGCTTGGTGGTGTTGCATTGATGTTTGGTCTTGATGATCTTAAAGGTCTTTTCCAACCTTAATGATTCTGTGATTCTCTGAGTCTCCTAAGGCATGTGAGCTCATGGAGCAGAGCCTGCTACTATCATTCTCCCATCTCTGGCACATGGGATGGAGGTACACTGAGAACAGAATGCACAGAGGGATAAAGAATCTTGAAGAATTCCAGTTACCTTTCTTTAGATTCTGGTATCATTTGTTGCCTCACATGTAATTGTAAACATAATTCAAGAATAGCAGCTTTTTCAGACTACTTTAGGTAGAATTTTTAATAGGGCAGGAATGAGAAAAGCAAGGTCAGATAAATGACTGAAACAAATTGTCCTAATGAACATGACTGAGAAACGGGTGTCTTTTTCCCTTGGGTCTGCAGGGGTGTATTTTTTCCATTGTTCTTGCACTTAGTAATTTGGTGGGTTTTTTTCTACCAGTTTGTTTGGTTTATTTTTAATATAGTGAACAGAATTATTGTTAGGAGTTTTTTGCAATAGTTGCTTATAGTTCTTTTTCCATTGTGTATGTTCCAATATCTTCTGTTTTCTACTCCTAGTAAAAATTAGTTTTTATTGGCTAACTCAAAAGGTAAAACCATAAGTTGCAAACAACACAGGAAGAAGGAAAAAAACTGCATTCTTACCAGAACATTTTATCAGCCAAGGTCAGGTTGCATGGGGATTTAATTGATTTGTAGCAGCAATACTGAAATGAGCCCTTGAGGATCCTCTGTTCTTTTTCCCACAATGCAAAAATCTGACCATGTTCTGCTGAGGGACTTTCTCCATTTCCTCTTATTATTAAAAAAGGTCAAATCCTGGCTTGATGCCCTGCCTGCTTAGTTTGCAAGACCAAAGAAAGTTAAAAAATCCATTCTGTCCACCTCTGTGTGTGTGAATCAGTATAAAAGAAATGTGTACAGCCCTTCCTTCCCTGTTCTTCCTGCTGCTTAGATTCAAACTCTTTTCATGTGTGGGTAGTTTCTGCCAAAGATTTGGTTTCCTGTTAGTGAATAAATCCAAAGGAAAAATACCATAGGTGTGACTTTTACTCTTCTCTGATTCTGCATCCTTTGAAATTGTTTCCTACAGGTAGAAGCTCAAGCAGTCTACAATCATTTAATGATGTTCTTCAGCTGTACAGTCCTTTCCATCAAAGACCTGGAGGCTGCTGTACACAGTATAACGGATATAGAGCAGTGTCATAACCAGCATCTTCTAACACATCTTCTTACCAACTTTTTACTCTTTTCTTCTGGTGGACATATGATTGCCCAGGAATTTTTTTGCCATGTAAGTGTTTCTTACTTTTTTTCAGTTTAAGTACAATTTTTTTTTTTTTTACTATTTTGGTTTTACGTTCCTACCTCTTAATAAAAAAAGTACATAAAAGATAATGAAAGAAGATCGTGACTAGAGCAACTATACCTAACCTGCTGCATATCTTTTTCAGCTACTGTCAAAATATTTTCCTTGTTGACACTTTTTGACAGGATCTCACTGAAAAGGTTGCTGTTCTGACTACACAGCTGAAGAAACAGCTGGAGTAGCAGCTTGCAGTTAAGGGATACCTAGAGTTCATTTACACCTGGCATAGACAGAATGTGCAAACATTTTGCTTTTCCGAGTTATAAATCACTCCCTTAATTATCTAGCTGCTGCAGAGATGACAGAACTGTCTTCTCTCTGTCTGCCATTATGCAGGACAGCTAGTTACTAAGAGTTAGCATTGCTAGGGCAGAAGCTTGGTGGTTTGGCAAAGCCAGAGAGGAAAATGGTGTAATAATCGAGAGACAAAAAGAATGAAGACCTGAGTGAGTGTCACTTAGCGTGTGAAAAAAGCTGAAGAGGTATAAGATGTTGGAAGTGTGCCACAATATCTTGCTGTTGTTGATGACAGCCTTCAGGTATATTGGTGCAAACACTGTAATGTGTTTGTGTCTCTCAAGATGAACAGTGCTATCTCAGTAGGAGGTTAGGAATTTATTCTTCTGTAACTATAAAACCATACTCTCTTAAGAAGTACAAGCCTACTATGCCAGGAGCTTTAGGGCCAGTGTGCGGTTTTAGCATTTCAGAAGTTTTTCCTTTCAGCAGCAGTGTGCTCTTCCATCTGTATAAGCTATATTGCATGTACGAGGAGTCTGATTTTACGACACAGCAAACTGGAAACCTATTCTGGTGGTTATTCCTTCTGGCTGCCTAAACAGACATAACATTTTTCTGTTCATGAAGAGCTAAGATATTTCTATCATTTTAGCTGTAAATGATCTATTAAGCACAAATGATCAAAAAAATCACAAATAATCTATTTCTTCTTAGCGTAAGAATAGGGGGTTGAATGTATTTTTACAGTCTGCTGTTTTTAGCATTTCTCTTTTGAGAGTTGTGGCTGTTGAGCAGAGATGCTGTAATATACTAGTCTACTGATTTAAACCTCAGGAAGACCAAAGGCTGTTTCTTGTTTCTTTATAGACAGCAACGTAACCAACTTTCAAAACTGTGAGTATTCCCTAGTGCAAGGTGGTCATGAGCTGTTGTAGGCCAGAGTATGTTGGTCTAATTAATTTTGACTGTATCTGTGCAGTCATTAATGTGTAGCTAGGCTCTCCATGTGATTTGAAAAGGCCTGAAGACAATATATGAAAGACAGAATGGTGTGGAACCAAACTGGGATGCATAGTAGTGGTTTTGGTTAGCATAGTAAACTTTAGGATTAACATAGCAGATAATGTGAAGACCTCCGTGATCTGCAAAAATTGCAGCTTAGGGTCTTTTTGCTTTTACTTTGTAATCTTTTGGGATTTATTTTAACTTTTGAAAGCTTTACAGAATTGAATTGTCTCCTCATACCCACCCAAAACTCTGATGTGCTTTTAGTTGTTTTTTAAGGCAGTGACTTCTAAATGGTTACACTGTCTGTCCATTTGTGTTTCCTTTTAAAACTTTTTGACCTCTTCACTTAAATTTGAGAGAACAGTTCAAATGTCGAAGTTGGTCAGTTCCTCCAAGATGTATGAAGAGAGGTGCCTCGGGCAGAAGTTGCTTTTGAACTCAGACAATCTCACCTGTTCAGTGGTGAGGGACAAATCTGTGGTTTTGTTGCAAATATTAACAGAGAATTCTTAGTACTTAGCAACATAATTGCATTATTTCCCATCTTCTCTGTTTTCCTTCAGATTACTGAGACAACTGATACAAGCAAAGAAGTTTGTAGCCTTCTTATCCGTACTGCATACAGAATTAACCGTAATGGTGAAAAAAACCCAAGGACTGTGAAGCTGCTGAATGAACTTCTTCAAAAACTAACATTGAAAGTTTAGATATTTAATGTCATCTATTTAACAAGCCAACAACCCATATCTTTATTCAGGTGTCAGATTTTCATTAATGACCTGCACCGCAAGTTACTAAGGATAGAAAAATATCTACTTTAAGCATATCCCACAACTTTGTATTCCCTCATATATATATTTGAAAATAATCCCTTGTTTGGAAATGTTAGCCTTTTAGAACGTAACTGTAGATACTAAAGATGGTTGAGAATTTTGTTCTGAGCACCTTCTTTAACAAGAGACCTATACCATTAAAGCAGTTCACTCATCTCCTTGTTGTTCATCTGGCTGAGGATCAGTTTTTCTCCCAAATGACACATGGTTTTATTAGCAAATTATATCCAATTGCTTGGTTGGTAAATTGTTCCTAAAATGTTTTGTTCTATAATTCTGCTTTTATGAAACTAACAATGATCTCAAGTGAGAGTTAGTGATTCATGGAGAATGCACTCTGTGTTCTCAGGAAATCAACATTTCCTGAACTTTTAGTTCTTTTTGAAAATGTTTCCAAAATGAAAACGCCTCTCAGATTTGCTAAATTATTTTTTTCAGTACTGCAGCTTTCACAGGACAGTGTTCTCTGCAAAGTACTATACCAATAGCTGGTCTCTGTCAACAGATACCGCAGGTAGAAGATTGCTTGCAGTACAGCCTATTTTCAGTGTATCATGACTATTGTTTATTTGTTTAAGAAATCTTTTATTCATTCAGACAAAACAGGGCAAGCACAACATAGGCATAAGGAAACTTTCCAGTTTGAGGGCAGATGGTTGCAACTCATCTCCTTCCTTTTTGTGTCCAGAGGTAGTTTGCTTACTGTGTTTAGGTTGTTTAGGTTTTTTGTCTCATGCAAAGAGGAGGAGCAATGGCTTACTCTTACCCTTAGGAAAGTATTTGTCCTAAGAAATTTTGTGAACCTCTTTCTAGCTTAAATAGAAAAATAAGCATGGAGAATAGTAACGAGAGAGGATCTTAACTCTTTTCAGTGATCTGTTCTCATAAATTATCTAGCTTTTTGTGAACACTTGTGCTATGTCCAAAGGTGCTACTTGGAATACCATTCTTGCATATAAAATCAGAGGCACGTATCTTAAATTAACACAGCTTTCTGAATGTAGCATTCGTTTTTGAGCAAAGGAAAAGAAAAACAATGTACTTACTTAGTGTCCCTTGGCTCTAAGAAGTGGAAGGATATTTTCTGTAATGCTGTTGACTGATTTCTTCCAATTTTGTTCCCAGTGAGTCATATCAGACCAAATTACAGAGGTTACATGTCCTTTCAGTCAGTTTGTTAATGTTTGCAATATTTGATTCCAGCATGTGAAGAAATAGTAAATACATAATGTTTATCTGTGAAGAAAGGTTTTCTTTTCTTTTTTTGGATTAAAAATATTTCTGAATGAAATCACAGAATATATGTTTCAATTTTTCAGTTGTTGGTAGCCACACATATCTAAAAAGGCAAAATCAAACAAGCCAGTTTTCTATTCCCTGAGTATCACACCTGAAAAGCATGGGATTAAACTAAATTATTTGTTGATCACTACCTCTGAGGTATTTGTGTAGTGGGAACACATGTGGAATGCTCTACCTAGAATGATAAATAATCTAAAAGTCTCCAAAGGAAGAATGATTTTTTTTTTTTTTTTTGCTTAAATTTCTAATCCAGTTGTTGGATGTGAGATTCTTTGGTTGTCCTTAAATTCTCTCCATATTACAACTACATGTAATTTTAACTACTT